GCGCCAGCACCGGTGGTGGCAGGCGGGACGGCTCAGCTGCGGTTGTAGGGCGGCTGAGAGGGGGCTGCAGGCCGGGCAGGAGCCCTCGGGAGTGGAGACCGGCCCGGAGGGCGGCATGCATCCCGCCGGGGTGTGCAGAAGGGCAGTAACTACACCCTGCCACACCTCGCTGGGGGAAAAATGGGAAAACACTATGAAACTCTCCGGACAGGCCCTGTCAGGTGACACATGGAAAAAGGAGAAGTCCCACTGCCTGTGCTGGTTCATGGTGCTCATCCGTTGGTCGTTGTTTCCTTCTTGCAATCCTTCTCTTTCAGCTGGGTCTTTCTGTGGGAGAAGGGCTACCAGGAAACAGATTCTGTGGTCAGTTCTGTAACCACAAAGGTGAAAGGAGTAACGCTGACAAACACATCCACCTTGGGAGCCAGGATCTGGGATGTAGCTGACTATGTCATCCCTCCTCAGGTATCCTCACTTTCACATGCAGAGAGAGGGTTTTCTATCGAACAGCAACTGCTCTGCCAAAGTCCACTGAGGTCTGGAGCAGCTTTACCTCCAGAGTGGGCTTGGTATGAGAGGATGAAGCAGCTTTGCTTTATCGCAGATCGTGCTGAGCACCTGCACCGCTAGCCCCAGGGGAAGCTTGTTTCAAGAAAAGTGTGTGTGTGCTTGTGTAGGAGGGAGAATTTTGAAGACTTCAGGAAAAAGTTGCAACAATAACTACGTCTGCTTTCTTACTGCTTTCTAAAGCAAACAATTCAAGGTTATCTTGTTGGCAGAAACCCCAGGAATAGCCTGCAAGTCACTTGATCCGGAACTGAGCAGGAGCTATTGCTGTAGTTACTGATTGACTGTGTCTTGTATGTATCTGCACTGTGTGGGCAATGTGTGCCGGCCTTTGGGGTTGGCAGGAACGGCCAAGCTGCTAGTTTTGGGTCACCCTGTCTGTGTGGGATGTGGTGCAGAAAAAAGTGACGGATTTAGCGAGATTTTGGCTGGGATCATATTTGCGTTTCAGTGGAGCAGAAGCAAACAACAGATCCCAAATCATACAGATCCGAAAATAACGGAAATTATGCTGCCTGGAGAAATAAACCAGGACTGGTCAAATTTCTAATAGATAGATAACAAAAAAAAAGAGTGGGAGTTGTGCTCAGATTTGCAGCTGCAGCTTTATTTCTGCTCCTGCCTTACAACTCCCCTGAGGAGCTGTGTGATTTCTGTTTTCATAATGCGAATGAGGAAATTTGGGCCAAGTGGGAGGACAGAAAGGGTTGCTAGTCCCACACTCCTTCCTCTGCCTAAAGGCAGCGGGCATGAGGCAATACATGTGGGAATCTGCTCCGTTAGCGCTACACCAGCATGTCCAAAGCAAGTCCCCTCTGCGGGGCCACCTGGCCTCAGTCGACAAAGACATTTGGGGCAGTGCCTTAGATATTCTTTGTAGACTAAAAGCCAACCGTATCCTGGGCTGTATCCAGAGCAGCGTGGCCAGCAGGTCGAGGGAGGGGATTCTGCCCCTGTACTCTGCTCTGGTGAGACCCCACCTGGAGTGCTGCATCCAGCTGTGGAACCCTCAATATCAGAAGGATATTGACCACTTGGAGCGAGTCCAGAGGAGGGCCACGGAGATGCTCAGAGGGCTGGAGCACCTCTCCTATGATGAAAGGCTGCAAGAATTGGGCTTGTGCAGCCTGGAGAAGAGGAGGCTCCGAGGAGACCTCATTGCAGCTTTCCAGTATCTGAAGGGGGCCTACAAGGGTGCTGGGAGAGGATTTTTTACAAGAGCCTGTAGTGACAGGACAAGGGGTAACGGGTTTAAATTGAAAGTGGGGAGGTTTAGATTAGATATCAGGAAGAAGTTCTTCACGGAGAGGGTGGTGAGGCACTGGGACAGGTTGCCCAGAGATGTTGTGGATGCCCCATCCCTGGATGTCTTCGAGGCCAGGCTGGATGTGGCTTTGAGCAACCTGGTCTAGTGCAAGGTGTCCCTGCCCATGGCAGGGGGGGTGGAACTAGATGATCATTAAGGTCCCTTCCAACCCTAACCAGTCTGTGATTCTATGACTGTCTCTCTGAAATTTCCTTACTGTTTTGCATGTCCAGGAGGAGAACGCTGTGTTTGTCATGACCAATGTGATACTCACACCGAACCAGCATCAAGGCCACTGCCCAGAGGTCGGTACTGGATCTGCTGTAATCCTGCCTTGTGTGGGTGGGAGTGCAGGGGACAGATTTTATGGAGTTTGGTGTAATTATTGTTCCTCTCCAGTATCCAGATGATAAAACAGAGTGCACGGTGAAGAATAACTGTGTTCCAGGATATGTCAGCACCCACAGCAATGGTAAGAAGCCTGCTGCAAGGGCTCCTTCAGTCTCTGCTGTGATACCTCTGTGCTATGCCTTCCCTCCTGTGAAGAAAGCAGCGTTTCACTTCAGTTTCCTTGTTCTCATTCTCTTACACCTAAGAGAACTGAAAGGGAAGATGAGATTTTATTCTGTGGGGAGAGCAGATGGGCTTAGACTGTCTTGGGTGGATGCTAGATAGATGGTGCTTTGGTGAGTTAGCAGTGTGAGGGCTTTTTCAAGACCTTGAGTCCATGAAGCAGTATTTCACATAGATGAAGATTTGACTCAGAAAAAGGACCTGATGCTTCTTTCTCTGAAATTGCACTACAGATTGCACTGGAAGAGAACAGGGCTCTTGGTACTGGGAGTTCACTTCTGAGCAGATTGTTTTCACCTTCTGGAGTGAGAAGATACCTCAGGGCAAAGACTGCCTCTGTATTTTTGCTTGGTAGTACCTCCATTCACATGTCTTTCCAGGCATCCAGACTGGGGAGTGTGTACCCTACAACAGCAGCATTAAGACCTGTGAAATCTTTGCGTGGTGCCCTGTGGAGGATGATCATCATATACCCAAGTGAGTGCTCTGTCTTCCTGCCCTGCGGTGGCCCTCCTGAGTGGAGGCTGGCAGTATGCAGCTGTTGTTTTTCCCTATGAGGTACTGTTGGGAAAAGCTGAAGAGGTGATCACCAAGGACCCTGCAGAGTCCTGTTTGTGAAAATATTAAGTGAAACTTGCTTTTCCTCTTTTGTATTTTTAGAAGCTGAGAACTTCACCATTCTGGTGAAGAACAACATTTGGTACCCCAAGTTCAACTTCAGCAAGTAAGTAGTGTTTGGGGCATTGCACTGTCTGTTCTCCTGGACAGTAAAGGGGAGCTGGAGGGGTGGAAGAAGATGCAACAGATCTTCTCTCTATTCCCCTGTAGGCGAAACATCCTCCCCACGATCAACTCCACCTACCTCAAGAACTGCATCTATGACTCCCAGAGAGATCCCTTCTGCCCTATCTTTCGCTTAGGGAAAATAGTTGAAGCTGCAGGGCAGAACTTCCAGGAAATGGCTGTGGAGGTATTTGACAGACCCCTCTCTTGGACCTCAGTGGTGTAGAAGGGGAGCGGTAGGTGGTTGTCCCCCTCCGCCGCCCTGTGGCATGAGCCACAGGACACAGAGTAGCTGCAGAATGGAGAGCTGCTCTGGCCAGAGGGACTGGAATCAATCCTACTTAAATATTTGGCCTTGGCTTGTGTGGGGGGGGGTTTTTTGCAGTTGCCTCTTTTGCACAGGGGTTGAGTGTGTGACTGGGGCTGGGACAAGGGTCAGTAAATCGGGGTTCTGGGCAGCAGAGAGCCTAGAACTGGGCTGGCCAGGCACTTGGGCTGCTCACCTTCTCCTCTCCTCCACTTGGCAGGGTGGAGTCATGGCGCTGCAGATCAACTGGGACTGCAACCTTGACAGAGCTGCTTCCCACTGCGTGCCAAAGTACTCCTTCCGGCGCCTCGACAACAGGGACTCTGCCCACACCGTCTCGCCTGGCTACAACTTCAGGTAATGTGGCTGTGGAGGGCACGTGGTGTCCCTGTGGCTCTATCTGCCGCTGACACAGTGTCATGGGCTGCCTGCACCCCTCTGGCAGTTGTGGGCAGTCCTTGGACTTTCGACAGTGCTGTAAGTCTTGGAGAGTTTCTCTGATGCTGTAACACATAGAGCAGGTCAGTTCCTCACTGTGTGCGAACCACAGCAGGGGGGAAGGTTGGTGCTGCTCCACTGGTTGCGTCAGAGTGTCTGAGCCGCATTTGCATCAGCATTTGCGTGACCGTTTGGGCCAGCCTCCCGTGGCACAGCAGTGTGAGAACTGACTGTTTTGGGGTGTGCCGGTAGGGCAGTGTTTGAGGGGGCTGAGGTGTAGGGGTGAGAGGCTGAAGCCCCTCCTTTGCTTTGCATGAGAGTTAAAACTAGTCTCTAGAAAGTGCTGTGTCAGTTGAAGTCCTTATCTGCACCAGGAATATCCTGGCATACGCCACATACGTGTTCTGACCAGTATAGGTAGGTCCAGCACCTCCAGTAAAACTGCCAGCACAGAGCTGGGTAGCTGGTTGCGTCCAGCCTCGGAGCTATAATGATTGACCACCTTGCCAAGATTCTCACAACAGTCCTGCTCGTGAGGAAAGACAGCTCAAGGCTCCTCTTGTTTCTAGAAACACCAGCTCCCACTTAGCACAGGGGATCTCTTTTGGGAGAACTTGAATGAATTCGCTGAGAAGCTGCTGTCATGCAGATGGCACGGGCGTGTTTTTGGGAGGTGCCAGGCCTGTAGGTATTGGGGTGTCCGGCGAGACTGGCTGGAGGATATCGCAGCCTGGCTGGTGCGGGTTCTGAAGCGCTCTTGCTAATTCCAGGCCGTGGTGCAACCCATTACCAGCCCTTCCTCTTCTCTTCCACCTACTTCTCTGCTTCCTCCTGGCTTAGTCAACCATGTGGTGTAGTAAGTCTGATCTCACTTATTTGTTCTCATCCCTTTTCCCTGTTATTTGCCTGCCAGTCACGTTGTGCGGGCCAAGGGAGAGCCTTTGCGTGCCAGGCTGGACTGTGCTGCCTGCTCCCGGCCCTGCCCTCTCGTGGCTGCCTGCGCTCCTGCAGCTTCCTGCTCGCCTGGCTGAGCGGGCCTATTCTCATGCGCAGCTGAATTTCTCCATGGCTGTCCTTGTGCACCCCTACTGAAAATAATTTCCTCCCTTTCCTGTGCATTGCAAGCTCCCTGATTTGGCTTATGCTGTCTTAAATTCGCCTGTCCTGGGCTTTCTCCTATATGTGCTTGCCTGCATGCCCTCCGTCGTTTGGGGCTTGTCCCTGGAGGTACCAGTCCTCTTCGGATGGGAGACACACCTGGATATGTTGCATGATCGCCTCAGGAACCTCATAATTTCCAGCTAAGCTCCGACCTATCTTTTCTCCAGGTTTGCAAAATACTACAAGGACAGTAATGGCACTGAATCACGGACGCTTGTCAAAGCCTATGGCATCCGCTTTGATATCATAGTGTTTGGAAAGGTAGGGTGACATAATTCCTGGTGATCTTGATGTGGGGGCTATCAGAGATGCGGGAAAACAGATTCACCCTTGTAACTGTCTTTTAGGCAGGAAAATTTGATGTAATTCCGACGATGATTAACATCGGCTCTGGCTTAGCGCTGTTTGGGGTGGTAAGTGACACCGCAGTGGGACTCAGTTCTGGATCAGCGCCTCAGTCCTGAGGATCATTCTTTCATTCTCCCTCTAGGCAACAGTGCTGTGTGACGTCGTTGTTCTGTATTGCATGAAGAAGAAATACTACTACCGGGAGAAGAAATACAAGTATGTGGAGGATTATGAACTGGTAGGTGTCAGTGAAGGCAGAGTGAAAGTCAGAGTTGCTTCCTCTGCTGCCTCTGGAGAGATCCTGAAACAGGATGTAAAAAGGCCACATAAAATGGGGATTTTTGAACCACAGCTTTGAGGAAACTTTGTCAGAGCAGCTAGTTTTTACCTCAAAGCTGTTGCAAGGGAGGAACACTAGAAACAAATATTGTCATGTTTCCTAGGCAACCACTCTTGGAGAGAGAAATATATGTTCAAGAACTTGTCATGTTCCCACTGCACCTCCCTTTTGGGTTGCAGTCCTTGGCAGTTGCCTCCTGAGAGCTGCAGGCGACAGCTCTGTGCCCATCAAATCCCTTCTGGGGCTTCCTGCTGCTGCTAATGAACCCATTCAAGGGGTTGGTATTTTCTAAGGCCAGTATGCTGACAGGCACAGCTACGCCCCCCGGATCCCTTTGGCCAGTAGGAGGGTTGAGTTGGGTAGTGGGGGTGCCTGACTGGTGCTGAGGGTTCCCTGCAGCCCTGTGCTTGGTGGGAAGTGTTGCTGCAGAGGGTGGATTTCTGAACGAAAAGACCTTGTGGCACTGGAAATGTAAAGTCTGGGGGGTGGAGGGTAACTTGCCTGCGCAGAGGGTTACATGTGAGAGGAAGGGGAAGAACGAAGAGTTTTTCTGGCATAGAACTGTCATCTCCGATCCTTGCAGGGAGTCAGTGAGACGTATGGAACAAACTCCTGACCTGCTGCTACAGCACCAACTGCTGCTGCAAACTGCTGCTGTGAAGGTTACTCTGACCCTGCCTGAGACCCACCCCCTCTTCAGTGGAAGGAAGAGGGGAACAAACCTCAAGAAAGGGACCTTCTTCACTACTCTTCACTACTTTTGCTGGCTGGAGCCAGCTGTGGGACAGAACCGTGTCTGCCCCTCATCTGCTGTCGTTCCAGGTTAATTGCACTAAGCACATAGGGAGAATTGTGCTTTTAGGCCAGGCCTCTGCTCCGGGTAAGCCTAGGCCAGGGACTGTGCTGACACTGTCGTGTTGACAGTCCTCCTTTCCCTGAGCTCAACGGTAGCAGAGAGCACAGGGTGACAGGCACAGGTTCTCCCTTCCAGTGAACATGGCTCCTGCCAGATGTTGCCTGACCTTGGGAGAGCAGCTCCTTGCTGCTGTCAGATCGCTTCTCCTTGCCCTGAAGGACTGTGCTTAGCTGAGCCTGGGCCTACTACTTAATTGTGTCTCCAAGCTCCAGTGGCCACAGACAAAGCAGCATCTGATTCCATTGTGCTACTGTAAATGGCTTACTTATTAGAGAATTTTTCTGTTTTGTCTAATTTCTGTGGTACTACTTTAAAATATATTTTCTTTTTAATAAAATATTACACTCTCTGCCCTCTTTAAAAGACCTGCAAGCTGGGCTTTGCTTGGTTATTTTTCCCCAGGGCCCATGAAGGCTAGGATCCACAAAGTGTCTTCATTTCACACGTTACTAGAGAGCTATCAGAGCCAGTGCTGCCGTCTGCTTTGCCTCTTGATTCTCTCAGTAAGAGGGCTGCCGCAACTAGAGCTTCTGGTCTGCTTTGTTCTCCTAACACCGTGTCTGTTGCATTAAAACCCTACTCGAGGGAAAAGGCCTGAAAGCTAGAGGCTGGGGTGGGTTAGCCTGGCACGGCCTTAGCCAAACGCTGTTACCAGCTGGTGAGAAGACCCGAGCTACTCTTCCCTGGCCTGTCTTCCCTGCTTTTCACTGCCCCCAGACCCCCTGTCTGGGCTACTGCATTTAATGGGTTTATAGAATTTGATTTAAGTGAATCTGTTGGCTTTTATCTTCGTGTGGCCTTGAGCGTCTCTAGTGATCCCACTGGCATGCAGCTCTTGCCTTTCTCTCAAACTTTTTTAGCGTTAGAGAGCCCTGGGACCTATTCCTTACCTCCAGCATTCTGGCTAGGGCTTGCCTGCCTTCCTCCAGCAGCACCGTGGGTTTGCTGCAGCATTATCGTTTTGGTTTATTCTTTATTTGCCTGCTGAGCACTGAGCTCAGTGTCAGAACTCAAAACAGTGCCTTGCCAAGAGTCGGCACTCCGGTCTGTGCGTGCAAATGGCTGCTCTGGATTATGCAGTGGCTACAGCCACCGAGGGCTCATCCTAACCCAGGATCCCCAGTACCGGTAGAGCACCAGACTTCACTAACACAGGAAGTTGTTTGCAGACTCCTCTTCCGACAAGCAAACTCACGGCTCCATAAAGACCAGGCAAACAGGATAACGGTTCCACTTGATCAACTAACTCTGGGTTTGGTTGCATGTCATTTATTTCAACTTGTACAGAGAAGCTTGAACAGCTGTGTGGAAAAACACTGAGTTGGGGTTTTTCTTTCTTTCTTCTTAGGTAATATAATTTAAAAGTGATAAATACACAGTATTTAAACTCGATACACCTGATAAAGTTAAATGCATAATAAAGGGGTAGGAATGAAACACAAGCCTCGGTCATTAAACAAACAGTATAAAAATCAGCTATAGTTCAGGACCTTAGAAAAGAAACAGATCAATTGCCTGATAGGTAAGAGGGGACCCCCCAAGAAAAACTACTCGAGACAAGAGGCCTGCTTTCCCCTTAGCACTTTCCCGTGTGCTTTCAGAGCCAAAAAGGCTTAGTACCCAGCATTAAGCCTACAGTCACCACTGGGCTTGCTTGAAAGGAAGCGGGTTGGGGAAAGTCAAGCAGTAGCCCAGTTCCAAGGCACAAGCAAAATGTTTACTTCACTATAAGACAAAAAGCTAGCTTTACTACTAGGGAACAGCAGCTGGGGAACCGAGCAGATTTAGATATACAGTACAGGTCATGCATTTAGCTAGATCTTCCTCACACAGCCACGCGTTATGCTTCCAACAAAACTAATCAACAGGAAAGAATCTACATTGGGTTCCTTTCAGAAAGGTGCATTTGGCCGCAGCCCTCCCGCAGCCGGCAGTGAGAGACAATCCTGTCGGAGAGCACCTTAGGGAAGTGCTGAGCTTTCGGATGCTTACCAGCCACGCCCGTGCTAGCCCTAAGACGCTGATCTATGGTAATATCAGAGGCCCAGTACCTGTGTGATGCTGGGCATCGAGGAACTGGTACAGCATACCCTTTAGCAGCCGTGTTGCACCAGGCAAACCTGTTTGGTAAATGTAAACTGTCTCACTAGGCACCTGACAAATCGCAAACCGCAGCTACACAGCACAGAGCATCTCTACATCTCACCTTTAACAAAGCACACCACACACATGACTATCACCAGCTATAAATAATCAGATCCCCCCTTCTTTTCTTTTGGCAGAACAAGTCCATTTACAAGGTTAGAGACCCAAGCTGCCCACTCACACGCGTTTCCGCAATGAAAAGCCCTGTTTAGGAAACGGGGAGCAAGCAGCTGGAGTAGTGCTGGCACCCAGGTTACCTGTTTGGTTTTTCCCATTGCTGAAGTTGCAGGGCTTTGGCATAGCCTCGGACTAAAATAGGAGGAAAACAGTGCGTGTCTTATGGCTCCAAACTCCATAGTACTGCTCCTAAACCACGAACCACTGTCACTGGCTGTGGAGCGCGGCCAGCAACACAACGTTTCGGTAACAGGTTGTGATTTAGGGGAGCATTGCTTCAAGTGGTCGGAAGGTGTTGAGGGACACTTGGTGTAGGCACCTGCGCACTTGCCATGCTGGCTTTAACAAAGACTTGTCCTAACCCGGAATTACTGGGCCAGGTCCGACCGCAGCAGGGCAAGGACCTCTGCACTCTGCTGCTGGCAGTGCCCACGATCAAGGAAGACGAGGGGTCAGTCACTTCCTAAAGGCAGGGCACCCGTGGCCAGGGTTAGCAGGCAGAGATCTTTCCATTAACCAAAATACTCAGGTCTCTCCTGCCTTCCTCAGGGTGAATAAATACAGCTCAGCAGTCCCTTACGTGCTTGGGACACCCGAATCCTCCCCCTTTCAGGTATACCGTCATTTTAAATGCCTCGTCCAAGGTCACACAACCACGTCAGACTGAGAAAAGCCGTCAGACTTTCTTGATGACTCTGTGGTGTGTGTCCCCAGTCCCACGCTCCATCCACAAAACAACTGTACTTACCGCAACCCCTGTCCTCAAGCAAACCCTGACTCCTCCAGCTCACCCACACTCTGCCCTTCTCCAGCTTTGTCCGAGCACAGAGAACTTGGGAAAGTGAGTCTGGACCACAGAGTCTCTCCCACCACACAATAGATTTTTTTTTTTTTTTTTTTTTTTTACAAGCACCACAAAATAATCAGAGTAATCTGACTGAAGGTGAAAGAGCTCTTCATAAAAACAATCCATGAATTAGGTATACACTTAATTTACTAACAAGCCTCTGACCCACAGGCATTCACAAATTACTGGTAACGAACTTGCAAAAAATACATAGCATTGGCCCCAAGATCCAGATTAAGAGTTTGGAAAACAAAAGTTTCTTTGAAAATTACTAGCTAATCTAAGTATTTCATTAAGATCTTAAATTCTAAGCAAGCCCTAAGTCTATACTTAAAAAATAGCATAAGTTGTATTGTTTTTAATTGTAGTAAACCATGTAATGTACATGGAAGTGAAGGATTTTACCCTGAATTTTATATTTAATAATATATCTACCTAGATCAAGTAAAAGATTTAGAAACAAGCTGTCGTTAGTGCTTCCTCTGCTGTTCAAAACAAACATTCAGCTAAACACCACCTTTCACTCAAATGTCTGCAGCAAAAATAGTTCAGACTGAACTTAAGCCCTTAAGTACCTTTTCCTTTCATACACTGAATACTCAACTTACCACGTCCCAGTCACACCAAGACCTTAGGAGGTAATTAACCTCACCTTCCCAGCGTCCCAAAGATGCTGTGTAATACAACTTGGCTCACAAAGGTAGGCGTTCGTTAAAAAGCCAAAAAGGTGGGTTTTTGCTTTGTTCCCATGCAGTTAAAAACACGTCAATTAAAACCAAACCAGAACGACATGAAATAGATGCAACAACACTTCCGGTAGGCCGCGAACTCTCAAAGCGCACACGCGTACTTTCACTCTGCTGTGCGCCCCTCGGCAAAAGCTTCACCCTTCTGTGCGTGTCCACCGACTGCGCTGCGGGCATACCACAGCCCCGGGGCGCTGCCGTTAGCCCCTGGAAATTATTTGGCATTAAAACCAGGTGAAAACAGTTCCAAATGCATTTTTCTTTGACTGCCTTCTTTTTTTTCTCCTTTTTTTGCAAAGCGCTGCTGCAGCTCATCGCGATAGCTCACCTCTCTGCTATCAGCCAGCACCTTTCCCACAAGAAGTCAGCAGTCCAAGCCACCGGAGATGCTCAGTGTTTATGACAAGTAGTCGGATGTCTTACAACATGCTGCTTTGTAAGCTCTACATCCAGCATTATACTGAAATAGCGCCAGGTCATGCTGTGTTTGGCGTGGCCTCTGTTAATGTCGCTCATCCTCCGCTGCACACTTCAGTAACGTGCCCGAGAGACCAAGTTGTTCAACAGAACTGTGAAGGCGACGTTCACGAAAGAAGTTCCTCCTCTCCCACGTTGGGCAAGTCGTTGCATTTCAGATTATCTTCACTTCCTTGTTTTCTGCTTTAAAAGGAAATAAAGACAGTTGCTGAGCGACTCAGAAAAAGGCAAAGCAATGAGACACCGACATCTGTCCTTCCCCACCACGAGATCTCCGAGACTCTGAGCACGTGTCATCTTCCCCAGCTCGCCTGTACAGGCTGGAAGTGACATAAAGAGATGCTTTTCAGCTCATCGGAGGGGCAGGATATGCCGTGTCACAAAAACCATCTCACAAAGTGGCTACGGGTCAGACAGAGGGTGTGTGAACCTCCCAGTCACGGCCCCACACAAAATTCAAAGCCCAGCTCCTCAAATTCGCCTCCCGTGCTTTCCAGAGCATTAAGACAAGCTACAAATGTCTCTTCAGGCCGAGGTGAGGCGATGACACTTACGGCAGCAGGTTCCCGGGGGCAGACAATGACCGCTCCTCCCTTCTGCTCCCCTCAAACGGATTCCCAAAGGATCGCTTCCGGATCATCGTTTTAACCAAGATCTGCAAGACCAGATTGGAGTTGGTCAGGGACGCTTTCTTTTCAGTCAAGAGCAACAGGAACATCCAACCCTCATGCCCAAGTAATAAAGAAAATGAGTGAAAACAAGTCAAAGTTCTTTTTTAAAAAAAAAAAAAACAAACCAACAACAACAGAAGGAAGCCTGTTTACAAGTCTCAGCTGCTTAACAGGGGAGCTGCATCCTCATCTGAAACCCACGGTGCAACAACCAAACACGCAGATGAGAGCCACACTGGGTGTGAGAGACTGGAAAGGAGAGAAAATCCAAGCTGGGGAAGATTTTCTCACCCCAGAATTAAGTTTTACTGATTACTGCATCCAGTACCTGCAAATTCCCGGTTCTCTGCAATCGCCTGGCAGAAGAATTCATTGGACAGGAAGAGGGGAAGGAAGGAACAGGCACGATTTTGCCTTAATGTTTACCAAAACCAAGCTGAAAAACTGCCCAGCTTTGGCTGCAAAACACAAAGTTCCTCAGCATCAGCTGCACTCGGAGGCTGTTGGGAACAGAGCAAGTGTCAGGGTTCTTCCCAAGCATCCCCCAACTTACGTTGCTGGTGGGAGTAGAGAACCACATAGGCAGCACTGGACTCTGCCTATGCATCCCCCTCTGGGAATCCCTGCCTTCATTTTATATTGCTTCTTATCCCTCTGTGCCTTATTTTTCATCTCGCCATGGTGCCCTGAGAGCCCTTACGTGTCTGAAATTTGCACCTTACACGCCTGGAACACGCACGCCAGCAGTGTCCCACGGGGAAAGGTGTTTTATGCAAGAGTCAAAGTCACATGAACCTTGTACTGGAGCGTTAACGCCTGCAGTCGGATGCACAAGGATCAGGCACCGGAGGGTAATTTTGAAGAACAAATGCAAATGGGAAAATACAAGATCTGCCTGGAGGCGGTGTGTTATTTAAGACTTTCAGCGGGACTGGGAGCACTGAGCCATCCTCCGCTGCATCGCAGCAAGTCACCTCTGAGCAGGAGAGAGGGGGAACACCCCCACCCCATCAATGGTGAGCTCTTCAGAGCAAGATCTGCTTTTTCAGCTTGAGCAGCACCAGTCACATTTGCATATTACCGTACCTGCGGTTGAAGAGACTTCTGCAGGGTACCAGAGGGGGAAAGAGCTCCAGAAACGGAGCCAGATGTGGACTCAGCCACGAGATGGAAAAGGGGCTTCAAAAGAGAGATCTGTACATCCAAAAAAATCCCAGCCTGGGTGTCTACTGGCAGATGGTGCTGCACTAGGGAACTGTGTATGGTCGCTCCTGTTTCTCTTAACATAAGGGCTAACGGGCACCCAGAGAAATCATTCAAAACCCAAAAGGATTTTGCGTTCCACACAGGGCAGGGTTACACTGCAGCTCTCAGCACCACAGTGGCTTGCAGAGAATAAAAATACAAGCTTGAAAAAGAGATGAGATGAATTCACCAAGAATAGCTCCAGGCGGGGGCTGGCGCATGCCACGGCCCAGATAAAATCTCCATCCCAGGAAGCTCCTGCAGCCCCTACGCCCAGATGGGCAAAGCAGGGCAGGAGCTCCTCATGCCTGGCCAAAACATCCACTCCCAGCCGCGGGCTGGTCCTGGACCAGATGCTCCTTTGCCCTGAGCAAGTACAGCAATGTTTAGGCTGCCAGTTCAGGCGTGGAGACCAGAGACCCGCTGCCGGGTCCCTCTGGGACTGCTCCGAGATATTCCCCCGCACCAGGGGGTATGGCTACCTCCAGCGAGATGCTGAGACCCCGTCTTGCAGTGCTTGTTTCCGAGAGAAGGGAATGTCTGTGCTGTAATCCTGCCCAACACCTCCACCTGCTCAGGATGGTCCCGGGATACAGCGTGGACCTCAATGTGCATCCACAGACCGTCACCTCCCTCATACTCACCACAGTGGCCAGGCTGGGGATGTGCTTGACTGAATTCTCCACTTCCTCCTCTGTCACCTCGACGAGAGTGCAGTTCTCATCCTCTGTGGGCAGCAGCTCTGCTCCGTTCTTGGTGACCCAAGGGTGCAACTTCAATTAATAACACAGCCTGTCAGGAACGAGGTCCTCTTTTTTGTAACTCAAACAACACAAGCCTGGCAAACGCATCTCCTCGCCCAAGCTACGGCCCCTACGTGCTTCTGAAATACCAGAGAGCAGGGCAGAGACGTGCCGTCTCACCAGCGAGCCAGTTCACCCCAGCACCAACGGAATGGCTCAGCCTGGAGCAGAAAATGCTGTGGTGAGGCTCATCCAGAGCCAGCGCTGGCCCCATCCATGCAGCCGAGCAATAGCCTTGGTGACCTACAGCACTGGGCATCTCAGTGGGTTTTAGGGAAGAAGACCTATTTTTACTCTCATCTTACGGATGAGACAGCACCAAGAGGCAGGAACAATTGATTCCAGACCATACGTATGAGCAGTAGTGATGGGGAAACCCACCGAACCCTAGTTTCGGACCTGAATTAATCCATGACAGAAGGCAGAAACCCCTTTTTCTCCTTGCCCATGCATCTGGCGTCTTGGGCAGCTGCAGGAGGAGCACAAAACGGTTCAGGAATTCCCCCGCAATCCTTTCGCCCTACCTTAGTCTCCATTTTCTCAGCTTCTCGCCCCTTCCAGGCTCCCGCAGGGGCGAAGGACCAGAAATCTCCTGCGAAAGGCTGTTGCACAGTACTTTCCTGGTAGCAGAGGAAATACTGTACTCAGGGGATTTCCTTTTGCCTGTGACTTCTGTAGGCACCAAAGGTCCCAAAGCTGAGCAGGTCCCGGAGCAGGGGAAGGAGCTGGGACTTACCTGCCCAGGGGCCCTGGGCACAGGGGGAGGACCTAGCCTGGCGCGATCAAACTGACTCCCAAAAAAAGCCGAGCAAGGAGAACCCAACAGAAGTGAAGCCACAGCCAACACCAGGGCGTTGGGTCAGTACCTTGATTTCTGGGACTGAAATCCTAGATTCGGGGTTTTTATCCAACATCCGTGTAATCAAATCTTTCAAGAAGTCTGTAACTTCTGGCCTGGGGAAGGGAGAGGGAAGAGATGAGATGGGGAAGGGGCTGGATGCTTCATCCCTTCTTTACCCTAGTGCCAGCCCCCCATGTCCTTCCCAGGCAGGCTGGGGCTGGACCCCAGCCCTGGCAAGGCTGCAGCTCTGGGTGCTCATGCACACAGATACCACACAGACATTCCTCCCCAAATCCCCCAGGGAAGCAAAATACCCCTTTTCTGGGCAATCTGAAGCATGATCCCACATGTATGGGGCTGAGAGAGCCTGACACCAACTCCACCCAGGCTAAAACCCAACCAGCAGCAACCACAGGGGTTAATCCTTTCCCTCAAACGCCTCTGCAACTTCAATCACTCCTTCGGCAGCGACAAACCAAGAGATGTTGTCTTCATGTTTAATGCAATGGAAGCTTTCCAGGGCTGAGGGCCAACAGAATTGCTCAGAGCCTGGGTTTTGCAAAACCGCAGCCCCACCCAGGCAGTGCCTAAGAAATGGCTCAAATGAGCCTTAAAATAAGGACTAAGGGGTTTGGGGTTTTTGACGACTTACTGGTCTGGGAACTCTAATGTTTGGGTCTTGATTTTATTGTGTAAACTCAGGATCCTTTCATCCATAAAAGGACACTACAGTGAAGAGAAGGAGCAATGAGAAAAGCAACAACCTCTGTTAAGAAGTGGCTGTGGGGCAGCCAGTCGAGCATTGGGATCTCGTAGGGTTTGAAGGAGGGCCAGGAGCCATTTAAAGTAGGGGAATACCAGATTTCCTATTATATCAATGTCTTCTTTTAAACGCAATGAAAATAACATTTGACTAAAAATGACCAAATTACTACAACAGCTCCTTTCCTAAGAAGTCTGGCCAGGCAACAGAAACTTTTCCCCCAGGGAAAAAGAGAAACACGGCCCTTTTGGCTGCATCCGGCCTGTGGACAGGCAGAGGTTTCCCATTTCCATCCCCCGCATCCCTGTCTCCCCTCGGCAATACCCGACCGCTCAAACAGGGGTGCAGGGTGCAAATCCCACTGCGGAGCTGGCACATGGGAGGCACGCGCCAAACCCGCCCAGATCACCGACAGCGCTGAAAAATCTCCTCACCTGCCCAAACACGAAGCAGTACAGCGTGATGCCCATGGCCCAGACATCCAAAGCCTGCGGAGTGAAGAAAGCATAGTCAGACCTGCAACAGGCAGCCTGTGAAAGGAGTATTAGTCCAATAACCCTAAAATTGCTATTAAATACCTTTCCGGAGAAGATTTTCCTGGTTTCCGAGAGCGTCTCCGGGGCCATGAAGGCAGGGGTGCCCACCGTGTTGGTTAAGAGGGCATCGGCTCCCTTGAACTCGTTGCTCACTCCGAAGTCGGCGATCTTGACGTGTCCGTCTTCCCCCACGAGGAGGTTGGAAGGTTTAATGTCCCGGTGGATTATCTTTTGATAGTGCACTGCAGCCAAAGGAAGCACAAGCAGTTCAGCAGCGAAGGAGCCACGAAGTCCCCGCGGGGCTCTAAGCCCTTCTGCTGACAGCACTGCCAGCCCCAGCTCCAAACACCCCTGTGCACGACCCACCAGGAACGGCACCGTGCACCGGCACAAAGTCCAGCCCCAGGGGTTTAGAAAAAATATAAAAATAAGAAATCCCATCCTTTTTTGCAGACACTCACAGTATTCGATGCCCTTGATCAGATCCTGGAAGTAGAACCGAGCCTGCTCCTCACTGAGAGGTTTCAGGGTTGGGATTTCCATCACAGGGCTGCAAAGCCAAGAGAATGGAATTTGTTCGCCATCCGGATGCACCAAAACGATCCCGGAGCCTTTGACGCCGGCTGGCGACAGCACGTGGCCCGACGCTGCCACACA